AAAACCCCAAAGAAAAGCTCAAATAAATCCATAGGGATGCTTGTCGTGTGAGATACAACAACAACACTGGCGTCGGAGGCGTCCGAGAATTTGCGAGAACCCGCGAGACGCTAGGAAGCGCCATGTGGTTTCACTCGTTAATAGAGGCGAGCTCGTCAATAGATAAATTTGCTGCGAGTGGCTTGCTCGTTACTGGAAAAACTCGTTAATAGAGCCACTCGTTAATAGAGGTTCCACTGTATAGGAAAAACAGTTATATAGGAGAGAGACCCTTGTGTAGGGAGAAATAGCAGTGTTAAATGTTGAAATACAGTCTGCAACTCTGACCCCTTTCAGATGCACAGAGCATCATCTCAACAGGAAAATGTAATCTCCTAAAAAAAAATGTAAACAAAAGAGATAAAATGGTAAAAAAATGCAGATTCAATGCAAGAAAATATAGAGAAACAATAGTGTTAAATGTAGAAAAATAGCCTGGAACATTATAAGACATATAAATGAAGTATTGGGAAATGTGTATGACATGTATAGGGAGGGGACATTATTGGAACCAGGCAGGCAGGGAGATGTGCAAGGCCCTATCAGTCACTTGGGAGAGGGAGGCAGTAAGAACCAGACCAGTGTTGTGGATGGTCACCAACAAATATGATAAGTGCAGTATTATAGATGTTTATAGTGGTGCTTTCCCTTTTCTTTATGAGTTAGAGATAGGAATTTGTGGAAATAAGGATTTTTGGAACCCTGTGTGTAGGGAGAGTGGTGTTTTGTTAATTCAGGTGTATGTGCTCAGCTGTAATTACCTAAGTGTAGTTACAGGATGAGAGCTACGCTCGTGGTGTCCCGTCTCCCCAGCACTCTTTGTCATATAATGCTTTGAAATTACCAACGGTTTTGGCCTCCACCACCTTCTCACTTAACTTGTTCCAACCGTCTACAACTCTGTTTACAAAAGTGAATTTTCGTATATTTCTCCGGCAGCTTGGTTTTATTAGTTTAAATCTATGACCTCTTGTTCTTGAAGTTCCGGGTCTCAGGAATTCTTCGTGTTACATGGGGGGTTATCCACATTTATTTTGTATATCCATTTGTAAACCCAGGCCCTTTGTAGTGACCTAAGAGGAGTGGAATAGAGTAATGACCTTAAGTCCCCAGGTTGTAGAGGGAGAAGGAACCTCTCCCCCCCCCCCACCTTTTTTGTCTGTATCAATCCTGTGGTGGATCGAAGTACACTCCCCTCCCCCCCCCCTGTTCTAAGAAGTGTGAGGAAATTTGGTATTTGTTAAATAAAAACCTTTTTGTAAAATTGTACCCCAAGGTATATTTCTTGTCCCATGTAGTTAGAACTGGTGATTATTAGTATATAGACCCCTGCACTTCCATTATTTATAAGAAAGTAAGAGCGGGTGTTATTAGCGATACTTTAGGTTACGGCTTTTAATCTCATACCTTACAACACACACAACCCAATGTACCTTTGGGTTTGTGGTAATACATAACATTGATGTTTTTACATTTTTGCAAAGAATGTAAAAAGTCTCTGCTAGTATATCAGTTTCAGGAGTCCTGTTAGGCCTACTGGGGGGACTAGAGCCAGAACCTGTTATGATCATCCACACTGAGAAGGTATCCAGAGAGCAAGCAAAGCAGTACAGACAACCGAAATATTCGTAGAAAACATAGCACCAAAACAGCCAAACAACTTAGCAAATGATTCATTCATACCCATTTGGTTCACTCGATACTAGCTCAAACCTCCTAGTGCAAAGGGCTGCCAATAGATGGTGCCCCAGGAGCTCCAAGCTTTTGTCCCTGTTATTAGTCAGTTCTGTCACTGATCTCTAAGAGCTTAGACCTACCAGAGTCACCAGCTATGGGTGAGTTCCACTTCTTTCCAAAGAAAAATGAGGGGACATCCTTTTTGTATTGTGTGTCACTCCTAACCTTTAATAATTGCTTCACATGCATGTGTTTACAAGTCTCACTTCTAGCGTGGACTTGGTCTGCTTATTTGCTATGAACTACAAGTTACACACAGAAATCACAATAGCATGATGCATCAAATGAACAAATCCACAAGGGCCGTGACGAGGATTCGAACCTACATCCGGGAGTATCCCAGACGCTGCCTTTATTGACTGAGCTACGACATGGTAAAAGAGTTGAAACCGGAGTTCTACTGAACTTACTGGATCCTGCAGCCTCTCCAAGACACAAACCAGGGTTTGTGTAAGTTCAATAGAACTTCAGTTTCAACTCTTTTTACCAAGTCGTAGCTCAGTCGATATAGGCAGTGTCTGGGATGCTCCCGGACGTAGGTTCGAATCCTCGTCATGGCCCTTGTGGATTTGTTCATTTGAACTACATGTATTTAGGGCAGCCTTTCCCTATGCACTTATTTAGATTAGCTCTGCATAGACACAATGACTTCTTTGGTGTGTTCTGAAGTTTGCCCTTGAGGGGGCCTGGTCACCAGAGTGGAGACCCTCACCCTGGGTAATGTATGAGTTGTTGTTTCCTCTGTGGGGCCCTGCAGTTGGGGCTTTCAGTTTGCCTTGTGGGATACACTAGGAGTTGCATTCTTGTTCATATGACACGCTGGCATCCTTCATAGCCAAATTCATCCTGTAAGCTAAATTCAGTGTCACTTCCCAAGTGCATGGGTGTCATGCTTGGTTAGTCACCTTCAGGCCCTGACAACTCCTCTGTGGGTCAGCTAATAATGAATCTACCTCTCAAGCCCCACACTTGCTATATGAGAAGGGTGCTTGTCTGCTTTGATACATGCCGGTCGGCCGAGCGGGGAGCCGGTCGGCCGAGCGGACAGCACGCTGGACTTGTGATCCTGTGGTCCCGGGTTCGATCCCGGGCGCCGGCGAGAAACAATGGGCAGAGTTTCTTTCACCCTATGCCCCTATTACCTAGCAGTAAATAGGTACCTGGGTGTTAGTCAGCTGTCACGGGCTGCTTCCTGGGGGTGGAGGCCTGGTCGAGGACCGGGCCGCGGGGACACTAAAGCCCCAAAATCATCTCAAGATAACCTCAAGGTGCCAAAAATCATTCTTTCTATCTTTACCAATCTACCTGCTAGGTCAGTGTCACCTTGGCCCTGAATCATATAGCATTTGTGCTCATTGGGTCTCTATTTTCTCTGATTCTGTCTCAAGACAAGAGGCGTATTAGGCAGCAGTTACCTTGAGGGCTCATTTTTCCTTCATTTGGTTTGCAGCTTGGATTGATGACCCAAAGTTGGTACATATGGTATTTAGGGACCTGGAGTAGGAGATATTGGTCAATTCCACTTGTTCTTAATTTGTCTTTCTGGATGCTTTCTTGGTGTGGGTGATCATAACTATCTCTGTGTGCCTCTGTGAGGGGGCCAGGTTCTGGATCTGATCCCTGAAAGGCCAACCAGGACTTTTATGGCTAATGTGGCTCAGATACTATGGCTCAGTATTCAGAATCGATCTCAGTGAGATAGCTTCAGGGAGTCACTGAGGCCTTACCAAAAAGAAGCATTTCATTACATTCAATTCTAGATTTTTAAACTGTTACATTACATTTTATTTTGTAAACTAATAAGCATGAGATTTCAATATTAACCACATATAAAGCATTTTAATTATTTTTATGATTAGACTGTTGAGGACACTTTTAAATCCTTCATTTCACCTGTAATATAAATAAAGGAAAATATATTGTGCACATTTACTCAACAGCTGATATTTTCCATACAATTTACATTAAATGTTTTCATGCATAAATTTTTTAAAGCTTTTAGAGGAAAAATAATATATTTCTTAAAAAAATAATTGTCTTTAAAATGTTTGTAAAGAAAAGAAAAACTGATCATGGACATCATAACATCATTTAATAATGTTTTGTTATAAGAGTCTTAAAAGTTCCGAATAAATAGTGCACTGTTAATAAACAGGAAGTAAAGAAAATGTTATATGATTTGCGTGTCTATTTAATATATAGTTTACTCTATCTTTTCTCTCAGTTTGAGTTTTAAACAAGTTTATTTTTCTGAAAATACCCCTCAATTAATGAGTGGAAAAAATATGTTGGTAGTGGTCAGTAGAGTTACATGGTCATGTTCCCACTCTTGGTGTGAGTGGCTACAGACGTTTGTCTACTGGAGGTGACGCCTGGTCCCTGCCGTGGAAACTACTCCAGGTGGTACTATGAGCAGACTATGGGAACCTGCACCCAGTTTGCATTTGGTGGCTGCAAGGGAAATAACAACAACTTCCTCACTGAGAATGAGTGCATGCAACGCTGTATCCGTGGTCGCTCCAAAGGTCAGGACGCAGCAGCTATGGGCTTGACTATAATGCTATGGTGGTGGTAAAGCAGTTTTTCATTATACTGATAGTTTCTTTATTAAAACACTCAGTTGGAAGAGTCAAGTTAAATACAATTTTTTTGTCATGCTGATCAAAACTTGTTAAGTATAATGCAAAACTGCATTACAGTGTTATAACTGCATCTTGGTATATAACAAAATAGTATCAATATAAACATTAGTTATGCCTATTTTCATTAATTAATCCTAAACTCATGGTTGTCCTGATCTCTGTAAAATTGGTTGTGGCATACTTAGAAATTAAAGCATGGGCAGTCTAACAAAGATGTAGATAGCAATGAAGAATAGTTCCTAACTTTCACTTTGTCATTGCAAATATCTCTGTTTTATATTCACATTCAAAAAATATAGCGACAGTACTTCAAGTTTGGATAATTCATATGACAGAGATAAATGTATTATGACAATAGCATATTTTGTAATCTGCTAATCCTTCTCTTTATGGTGGTTGTACTAACAGACCTGTGCACACTACCCAAGTCTTCGGGGCTTTGTGATGAGACTCTTCCTCGCTGGTATTATGATTACTCCGAGACCAGGTGCATGCCTTTCTATTACACGGGCTGTGATGGAAATTCCAACAGGTTTATTACACGTGGAGAATGTGAGGCCACATGTCCAGGGGACAAACCAGGTAATGGCTAATTGCACTGTATGGTTTGGAAGAATATACTGAAAGCATCCTTGACATTTGGATTAAATATGGAACATTTGGATCTTCACTTCCATATAATTGATAAAATTGCAGTACATTTATGCATTATTTTTGAACTTCAAATACTTTAGCTACAACTTTCAGTGCCAGAAGTATTCATTTTATTCATTGTTAGGAAATGAAAGATATAAATACTGTAAGTATAACAACTGTTATAAGGTGTCATCATCATCATTAGTGGATTACCCAATTTTCTAATTCCATGACATAAGAAACCTAATGACTAGAGAAGATAGTAGAATAATATAAGGAAAGGTTAATCCTTTGGGACATTCAACTCGATAGAAATCCAAAAAATCAAGCATTGAATATAATAAAAATTCCCCCTTTTCTGGGCACCCTTGGTTTCTTTATGGTGCATTAGGCCCTGGTACACAGAGACACCCACATCACTACCGCCTGGCCTCTGGACTGATACAGATCTACCAAACACCAGAATCTGTTGTGTTTATTAGAGGAAAGGGAAGCATGAGGATCAGTGTCCCAATTTTGATAAAAACTGCCCAGAAAGTAAAGATAAAGCTAAACAAATAGTTTATTGATAATAAATAAAATCGTTGGGAAAATACACAGTGGGCAACTAGGTGGCTGCTCGTGTCAGCCGGGGTTCCAGCCGACCTCACCCAAGTGTCACTCTGAGAGACACCTCAACCCCACTAGTAAGAACACCAATAAAGGGTAGGTACATGAGTACTTCTGAGACTGCCTGGAAAATGGTGTTTCATTACATTCAATACAGTATATGATTTCTGGGCTGGCCCCTCAGTACCTCCTCATAAGTGTCTCAGAGAGGGGAACTAGTATTGAAGAAGAAAAGAAGAATAACTGAACAAGGATGGAGAGAGCTTACCCATGAGAGCAGCTGAGATAGATCAGGGTTTGGGAATGAGCAGACAGGGGCACGACACATGCCTTAGTGCCCATAAGCAAGGCAAGAACTAGGGACAAGCAGCCTGGAACAGACAGACACACACGCAGCAGACCCTCTACTAAGAAAAGTCTAGAGCCTAAGGAAAATGATGCACCTTGGAATCCTGACCAACAAAAGGAAGGCAGCAGGACAGAAATCCAAACCAGTCTTGAATTGGATTGAAAAACGTGAAAATGTTTGTGGGAAAAAGAATGGGTAGACAAATGCTATAACCCCATGCAGAGGGATCATAACAGACTCCACACAGGGAACCTTTAGCATGGAAAAACTGTACTCCATTCCTCCCTTAATTTTAGCTGCTAAGAAGGGGAACAACCGACCCCAGGACGAGCCCAGGCACCACCCCCTACAATGGAGAAAGGTGGCAGCCCAAAACAGACCCCCCTGTATGAAAGGGTGGAAGGTACAAAAGTGGCCAAAGTTGCCAGCAAGTCCAACCAAGATGAGCAATATGAAGGAGAGAACCTTTACCAAAAAAACATGACATGAGGAGCCCATGCAATGCACACGTGGAGCACCAAGATTTAATTAGTGACAGCATACAAACCAAAAACTCTCATGTGCCAAGGTCAGAAAATAAAACTGAGGAAATCTCCCAAGAACCTAGTAGGATACAAAAGCAAACCCTGAGGAGAGCCAGAGAATGCTTCACTTCCCTTGGAATGTGCATACAGGCAGGAAGGTTTCCCAAGTTCTTGGCTTGTTCTCCCAACAGAACAGGCAACAAACAACATTGCTAACATAGAAGTAGAACTAATAGCAACTAGTTCATCAAGACAGGGGAATAAACAATACTTTATAGTAATTGTAACAGTAGATGTAGGAGAAACTCTCAGAGGCTATGGTGTGAGAATTTACAAATATAAGTGTTCATTTGGCATCAAGGACACCAATGATATTTGTCACACTGAGAAACCAGGAATAACTTCTCATTAACTTTAATAATACCAAGCACATCAAAGAAGAAAAATTCATTAGAAGAATGTGTATAGAATTAGTATCCATAAAACATCATCATCAAGCAGAACTAAGAAGTATTCATTTTTGCATTACCACTTGCTGATCTGCTGCAGAGACAGTACTGTACTAAAAAAATATAAATTATGACACGTAATCCGTCATCTTTCTGGCCTCACCCCTCACCTTTTTCTTTTATAAGCAGTACTGTACTTGGTTCTACCAAGGTTTCGGTAAGTTTAGATAATGTATGTAAATGTTTGTTGGCTTAGATGTTTGTTTTAGTCATTGGAAGTTTGTATTCATTTTCTGACTTACATATAGCATGTATTACCACTCGTTCATTTTATTATATTTTTATGACTAGGTTACATTGTCCTCTGCAACCATGTGTTATATATTATCATTCTGTCAGTATGTATATGTCTATAGTATAAAAATAATTTTATTTTTTGTTAATCTTGCTTACTTTATCTTAGGTACAATATTTTGATATAAAGACATTGAAACAATGATTAAAAGTAATAGAAAATGAATAAACATTTAGATTGCATTTTTAATGAGACTGGTGCATGTAGCCAACTTTTTCCAGCATTTGTTCTTTAGACTGGACTTGTGTGCACACAGTTTTCAGGGGAGAGCCCCTTCAGCTCCCTGGAGCTTACTAGGCTGATATGCTAATGTCAGACTTTGGCATCAGTCATGTGTATCCCCAAGGGTCTTAGGACCCCTGGGAATCCCCAAGGGGGGGGGGGGCGCGTGGGTTCGATGGATGTGTCCCCGGAGCCTCCCCCCCCCCTCGCTTTATGCGAGTTTGAGGGTTGCTTGGTCCCCTTGACACAGGGTGACCCTCACAGTTTTTGCCTCTTTCCCGCTGCCTGTTGGGTCAGTGGCACTTTCAACTATGAGTCCTGTGAGTACTGCTGCTTGCTAGTGACTAGAGGGTACAGGCGGCGCAGGCATTGCATGCACGGTTTAGGTTGTTGCAACGCGCTAGGTTGGTTGGTCACCCAATTCTGGGATTGGGTGGTTATAAATAGGAGCTGCCTCGTATGGGCCAATAGGCCTTCTGCAGTTGCCTTTGTTCTTATGTTCTTATGTTCCGAGGCTGCCCCGTTTTGCTTATAGGGACTCGGACTTGGGGGTGGGGGTTGCTTCGACCTTAGTTCAGTCAGTGCCCCTTCATCTTTCCCTTTCTGTGGTTCAGTCTGCTCTCCACCCCCCCTGTTTCTGGCTCCGAAACACCTGAGGGTTTCGGAGTCGGGGCAGGGTTTAGATGGTCTTGAGTCTCGAGCGGTCTCGGGGGATGTCCCTTCCGGTGTGGCGACGGAGGCTTTTGAGTCTGATCTCCCTGCCGAAGCCTCTGGGTCTGACCAGTGGGCCCCCTTCTGTTCGGCCTACTCGGCTGCACCGGCCTTTTCTTTAGGGGCCAGTGCTGTGGGGGATGACTCGGCCCCGGGTCCCAAGGAGGGGGAATCTTGGGGCTGGGGAGGGGCTGACGTGGGGGCCTTGGGCCCAGCTAGACCCCACCTGGGTTTTTCTACCCTCTGAGCAGGGCTTATTGTTACAAGGGGTGGGGTTCTCTTTTCCCTCCCTCCGCGTACGAATTGGATTTGGTGTCTGCCCCTCCCCAGGTTCAGTTCTGTGTACCCTAGGGTGCATCAGTTCTGTCCTTCTAGAGGTTTTTGGCTTCCTGTATCCAACTGTCTGCGGTGTGGGTGGCCCTTGCGGCTTACCTCCTGCGTGACCTGGATTACGCTTCGGTGATGGATCCATCGTTTTTCCGGTTTGGGACTTCGTTCTCTTTCTAAGTCCGTTACGAGATTCCGGAGTCGTCCTGGTTAGTGGACTGTCCTATCTTTGCCTTGGAGGCCTGGCATTCTTTCTGTCGTTCCCGCACGCTTGAGTGACGCGAGGTTTCTCCTGTGATTCAGGTTTAACCCTTAAATTGCGCATCGCATCATATGATGCTTTGACCGACTTGCAGTAAATTGCGCATCGCATCATATGATGCTTTGGAGTACTACGCAAGATTTAAATGGCCCGCGGATACACGGGGTTCACCACACCTTCATCAGGGCTCTTGTAAACAGACGCCATTTAAAAAAAAAATCGTGGGCCAAATTCCCGGGTGTTAGGGGCCTCAGTATTGAGTGAGCTACCAAGCCTGACGCACGCAGCATGAGCTCACAGCACTGCTGTTCAGCTTGTGACCACAGCATCGCCTAAAAATGCCATAATATACTTGTTCATGCTATTATGTAGCGATGATATTATTACAGAAGACCCCTGACTGTGATAAAACTGACCAGGGTTCTGATAATAGCAGGATTGTGGTGATATTTAGCGCTGTGCTCCATGGAGGGAGGAGTAATGCTGTGGGAGGGGAGGGTAGTGGCGTTGTCTTCTGACTGTGTGTGGCCACCTTTTATTGACTGCACTCACCATACCAGCTTAGTGGTTCGCTATGGTGAACACAAATGTAGATACTTATATATAACGTGTGTATAGAGGGTATAAACAGCAAGAGGAGTAGGTTGGGAGCCGCCATTTTGGTGAGGGCGGTGGCGTCGTCTGCACGACTTATCATGTTGTTTACTGGTGACCACGATGGTCTTTGGGCACCATACCAGTTTACTTGTACAAGTATGGTGAATAAAACAGGTAGATATTTATATATAATGTGTGTATATAGCGTAATAACACCACAAACAGTATTGTTGGAGGAGAAATATTAGTGCGTCTGGCCTTGAGGGCAGCAGCCATCAGCTGACTGTGTGAGTAGCTACGTCTTTGTGCCTTTACTCACCATACAAGCTTAGATGTACAGTTATGGTGAACAAAACATGTAAATACTTATATATAACGTCTGTATATAAAAGCAAAAACAGTATGGTGGGAGGAGAATGGTGGCAAGTCAGGTGAGGTGAGGGAGGGAGGGAGGGAGTGGCAGCCAATGGCGGGCTGCCACTGCCACTCAGCATACCAACTTAGTGGTTCGTTATGGTGAACACGAATGTAGATACTTATA